TTAGACAAAATCTACTCTGGGTGGGTTCCATTAAACATTGTAAACTAAAACAGTTAAAAACATTTCAAAACAACAGTGATCAGTAATGCTTAGTAATGCTCAAGATGGGAAAAGAAAAAAGTATAATAAACATAAAGTCAAATATTGACAGGAGGGAAGCCTGCCTAAAGAGCCAAGTTTTTAATTGGCTGTTAAAAACACCCAGCGAGGGAGCCAGGTGGATCAATGATGGGAGGTTATTCCAGAGCTGAGGGGCCACTGCCGAGAAGGCCTGGTTTCTTGTTCTTTCTTTCCGGGCCTCTCTTGGCGTTAGGCCCCTCTGGCTATGGCAAGTGATTTGGGTAGATCTAGGTGGGAGAAGGCGATCTGCCAGGTATCAAGGTCCTAAACCGTTTTGGGCTTTATATGTCATCATTAACACTTTGAAATCATGCAGAAGTGAATGGGCAGCCAATACAAGGCAGCCAGAGTGGGAGAAATATGCTGGTACTTTCTCACCCCGCCAAGCAGTCTGGGTACCGCATTCTGCACCATTTGAAGCTTCCGCATCAATCTTAAAGCTAGCCCCATGTAAAGCGCATTACAGTGGTCTAATCTCGATATTATAAGCGCATGGATGAAAGTGGTGAGAGCCCCACCATCAAGATAGGGTCACGGCTGGACAATCCACCACAGATGGAAATAGGTGGAGCGGACCACGGATGCCACCTGGGTTTCCATGGTAAGCATCAGGTCCAGATGTATCCCCAAGCTGCGCACCACACTCTTTGCGGTGAGAGTCACCCCCCCAAAAAGGGAGAGTTTCCCAATCCGCCAATGGAGGGGCCGCCCACCCTCAAGACCTCCGTCTTGTCCGGGTTCAACCTCAACCCATTCAGCTGCATCCCTTGCAGCACAGCCTGCAGACAGCACTGAAGGGACAGAATGGCTTCATATAGATGTTGAACAGCATTGGGGAGATGATCGACCCCTGCAGAACCCCACAATTGAGACTCCACAGGGCTGAAAAGCTCTCCCCAAGCCGTACTCTCTGGGGATCGTCCTCCAAGAAGGATCGGAACCAGGCGAGCACCAGGCCACCGATTCCCAGCTCGGAGAGCCTCCCCATCCTGGAATCGGAATGGATCCAGTAGCCTTCAAGGGTGGACCATTAAAACAGGTCCCTGCTCCCTGCGGGGAGGGAGAGCCACTGAGAGGTTACATTTTATTAGGTGTTGATCTGACCATGATAATGGAACTGAAACAAGATCAGTCACCATCAGACCACACTTGGTCCGCTCAGTGGAGAACGCTGGTTCTTTCATATGACCACCCATGTGGGTGGGGCCATTAATATGTTGGGACATGTTCAAGGGAAGCCATGGTTTCTAGGAACTTAAGAGCTGGACTGGCAATCTCTGCCTCCACATGGATGTTGAAGTCACCCAGGACCAGAAGCCATGGGGACTCCAACAGTGCCGCAGAGACAAAGTCCGCCAGTTCTGGTACGGAGGTAGTTGGGTCATGGGGAGCACAGTAACCCAGCAAGATCCCAATACCATCCCTGGCCCCAATCAACACGTGGAGGGCCTCCAGACCCAGCTTCACCACCGAAGAGCGCCTAATAAGCTCCAAGGTATTTCTATAAATAATGGCTACTCCCCCCCGCCCGTCCAGTCTACCCTGGTGCTGGATTGCATAACCAGGAGGACAGGCAAGGGTCAGAGGAACTCCCCCTTCCCCGCCCATCCATGCTTCGGTTATGCACGCCAGCTCTGCATCCTCCTCCAGAATAAGATCTTGTATAATCCGGGACTTATTGGCCACAGACCTGGCGTTCAACACCACCAGTTTTAGAGTGGAGGGCCGGCTGATCTGGCTACCTCGAGACTGGCAGTTGGTCACAGTGCCAGAACAGTGAGCAGCCTTCAAACATCTGTTCACTGTTCTTATAAAACGACTAGGCACTGTGCCAACGCCATGTCTCCCTCTAACTGTAATCACACTGATGTTAAACCCCCCGCTGGGGGGGGCAAGCCTTCCACTCCATGTCAAGAAAGAAGAAAACAAGATACACTAAAGTAATACAGTGAACAATAGTAAGAGAATTAACAAAATACATTCAACTCTAAACAATAATACAAGCTCAAACAATTATCAAAGTAATCAAATTATTAAATCAAACAATTTATCAAATTAGCAATTTAAATGAAATTTAAATTGGGCAACTTAAATAAAATTTTACATAAAAACATTTGTTTCAAAAATAAAAATAGAATAGAAACAGCATAATACAACTAATATAAACAAAACAAGAGATAACAGAAATAAATTAAACAAAAATAATGAAATAAACCCAAGATTCTCCCACACACAATTGAACCTGTCCCACCATGCACTGGCTGCAGATCTTCTTTCCCTCAAGTAGGCTGATGGAGATGAATTCAAGTTTATGGCGGCAGAGGCCCCAAGTCAAGCAGTCAGAAGCAAAGGCAAAGCAGGAAGTAACATCTGAAGGAGGGGAAGCTGAGGGAGAGCCACTTGAAACGACAATGGGGATACAGTCAGAAAATTCCCCCTTAAGCATGCCAGGGTCCGCTGCTGAAAAGGAGTTTCCCCTGGCCATAGGTATCAATGACTCCCAGTTCCAAACGGCCCCCCAGAAAAGTTTCCAAAAGTGTCCCACCACAAGTCGGCACCAGCTTCACTAGTCCTCAGGCAGCCTCTCGGTCCCCGACTCCAGGCTCACCACGCCTCCTCCAGCTGGCGTCCGCGATCTCTCCGGGGCTTCACTATTCGAGCAAGCGGGCTCCTCCGCACCACTCCACGCTGGGCTCGTCTCCAAGACCCCAGCGCCAGTCCCCCAAAACTAAGAGGTCCCTTCAGCTCTTCCAACCCTGCAGCACGAAAGGAGGCTCCCGTGATGCCCAGCTCCACCTTTCTACGACCAAGTTGGCTGCCTCAGCCCCAGTCTTCGGACTCACAGCAGCAGCTATGTATATAATTACAGAAATTGATTTCCTTCAATTATTTTGCTGAGAACACCATCCTTCTCTTTTTCCAAGCAACTAACTGTATTCCAGTCTGCCTGCCTGTTTCCCTAACAGCAGCAGCAGCTGCAGCTGCAGCGGCGTTGTTGTTCTTCTTACTCCCGGTGATAGTGGAAGCAGCAACAGTTGTGATGTTTGTAATGTTTGTTGCTGTTGCAGCAGAGATAAAAGAATAAAAAGCAGCTGCATCAAATAAGGGAGGCAAGAAACATAAAATAAAGCAAAAAGAAAGAGACCAGAAAGAAAGTGACAAAAAGCTGACTCAGCAGGAGGAAAAACACAACCTCCTCCTATCAGGTCACCATCTTGAGCATAGCTTGGAGTTAACTGAATTTATTGCATTTGTATTAGTGAAAGGAAAGGGGAAAGCCTTTAAACAACGATCAATACAATTTTGGAATAGAGATTCGTATTAAAAGTATTGCTCCCAAGGGTCCCGTGGGTATGGGGTGCACTGTGGTTTAGATTGTAATAGTTTTTTGTATTCTTAGTTTTGTTTTTTGAATTTTTTTAAAAAAAGGACAGTAGAAAGGTAGTCTATGAAGTCTTCCCTGAGATTTTCAGGATAAATGATAATGTTTTCCTAGGCATGAGAGAGACAAAAATGCCTAGGAAAGCAATGTTGAAGTAATAAATATGCAGAAAATCTAGCAACAAACGGCTATGGCAATTGCTTTGTATTTGGGTGAGATGTGATTAACAGATGAAAAAAGGTTTCAGATTCTGGGATTTTTCTTGCTTGATATCTCCTTTTAAACAATAGTAAGTAGAAGTGGGGATCCTATGGACCATTGTAATTGCTGACACTGGTGTCATCAACATATAGGCTGGCCTTTGTACAGCTTAGCATCCCATTTCCAAACAGCACAACGTTACAAGGCAATGTCCAACCATTTCCTAATAATTGGAATTGTGGACCATGGAAGCAATATCCTACTTTTGTAAATCATAGGTTTCCTGATGGGTTGAATTTTGTGGCTTTTTAGAACAAAACACTACACACCAAAATTAACAATGGAAGACATTCATTGGGAAGTTTGAGTTACTGTACAGTATGCTGTACTGTATATTTATGTATATGACCTCCCAGAGACTAGATTATGAAATAGCGTGACCTGGACATGGGGTGTGTGTGTGTGTGTATCTGCGTGCATGTATATCTGGAAATAAATCCCAATGAATTCAATAGGGCTTCCTTTTGAGTAGGTTTGCACAATATTACAGCAAAAATGTTTGTGGTATTTAGGCAACATCAGTCCAAGAAGAGAATGTACCTGGATACTATGTCCATGTATAATCTTGCCTTGCAGCATACTCAGAAGGAAACCCAATCAAGTTCACTCACACACATTCCTATGGTAAGGCTGCAATATATTGCCTAGAAGTATGTCCCATTTACCTCAGAGACTCATTGCTGAGTTCATAGGTGCTTAACTGCTGACTGCTGACAAGAAATAAACTTGATTGATTGATTGACTGATTTCGATTTCAATCCCACCCATCTAGACCAAAGGTCTATTAAATGGAACAGGGCTGATATTAAAGTACTGTACACTCTATCCTCTATACCTGAGACAACAAAAATAAATGGGAGCAGAGGAAGAATTCCTTTGGATTCCTCCAACTAGAAACCATTCCAGAGAATCCCTCCTGTCTCTCGCTGTGACTCTCCTCTATGCCCATTGTCTCTGTTTCTCTATCTGTGACTCCCCATTTCTGTTTTCATGGCTCCATTCCCTTTCTACTGTGATGGAAGATCTGGAAAATACTTTAAGAGTATTGATAATATACAGATGTAAGGTACTTTGTTTTAAGTTTCCTATTTTTTTTCTCCACACAAAAATGAGAAAAAGACACCCTGAACTATCAAGTCCCTGAGAATTTCAATATGTTAAGAGTTTTAAATGAGTAATATTGCGGTGCCAAGGTGTGTAATATTCTTGTCTTCTGTTTTTTCCTCCCACCCCCAAGGCGGATAAAGAATTTGTGTGGTCTTTGTGGAAACGTCTCCAGGTTGCAAACCCTGATGTTACACAAGCAGTAAGCTTGGTTGTAGAAAGGTGAGAAATACATTTAAGTGTTTAATGGTTCCAGTTACCTGATCCAAATTTTTTTACTCTTAACCCCAAGGCAGACTTCTGGGACTAGCAGAGGAGAAGCCAGAAGTAAAAGAAATTTCTTTCTACCTCTATTTTGTTCATCTCTCCGTGTGTATTGATTGGGAAACAGAAAGTAATGCCCTGTCATTTGCACTGCTGTGAATTTCTCCAGTGGTCTATGGGTAGGGTACAGTGGTGCCTCGCAAGACGATTAAAATTCGTTCCATGAAAATCATTGTTTTGTGAAAAAATCTTCTTGCGAGGTTCCCTTTGCACCGTTCTAAAAAAAAAAAAAAAGTCTTGTGAAGCATCAGTCATAGAAAAAAGGTCTTGTGAGGCACCATAGTGATCGCAAAAACCCATTGTCTTGAAGGTTTTTCGTCCTGTGAGGCAATTGTCTAGTGAGGCACCACTGTAGTCTCACTACCCATTAGATTGTATAAGGGGAGTCTCTCACTAAATTACCCTTTCACAGAGCAATGGGGCGACTCCCAGGAAGCAGCACAACTAAGAAGGCATTCCCTTGTTTTAAGCTAAATCATGTGGAGTGAAACAGATAATGGTGGTAGAAAGGCATCTCTTTTGCCTTCTGGTTTCTCCCCTTCCAGCCCCAGAAGTCCGACTGGGGGATTCTACACAGTTTCTGGCACTAGAAGTCCCAGAATGACAAAAATTCCATCCATATCTATAACACTGTACTTGTGTGTGTGTGTACAAATCACAGTTGTAAACCAATTAAATAATTTTAGTTGATTAGACCACTATCTTGTTTTAGCTAATTTCTTTTTTAATCAGTTTAATTCAATTATCTCATTGTATCAGAGCTTCATGATAGAGGTTGTTTAGAGAAATTAAGAAAATGTTGGAAAAATTTGCACATACTAAATACATTAATTAGAAGTAAAAAGTGTGCTGCTTATATAAAAGCGTGCTGCTTATATACCACCCCATAGTGCTTCAAGCACTCTCTGGGCGGCTTACAAGTTAATTATGCAGGCTACACATTGCTCCCCCAGCAAGCTGGGTACTCATTTTACTGACCTCGGAAGGATGGAAGGCTGAGTCAACTTTGAGCCGGCAACCTGGGATTGAACCCCAGGTCGTGAGCCCAGTTTTGGCTGCAGTACAGCTGTTTAACCACTGTGCCACGAGGCTATTTTTGTCCATTCTTGATACGATAACAAGCTGAACCACAACAAAATCTCCCAAAAAGTATATCCTTAAATGATATCTATTAAAAACTGGTTTAATCCAATTAATTAATTTTAGCGGATGCATTTACGAATTAAATACTGTACAGACTTGGAAGTCTGATGTAACTGTATGTATGGAAACTATGGACGCATGGACAAATGAATTCATGTTTCTCCTGCAAGATATTATTCTTATTATTTAAAACAATATTTTGAATAGATCAAGCGTAAGCAATGTAAAAATACCAGTGAATTACTATATGCTGTATGTCTCTAATGCAATAACTTATTTGGTAAAACAGATCAAGTAAGTTGGAAAGGCCAGTTTTGCACAAGTTTAGTTGGAAGTAATTAAAAGCTTCCTGCCATCATTCTTTGAGGTTTCAAGGCTCCCTAGGATTTCCTTTTGCCCTGGAGAAGCCTTTGGAAGCCTCAAGATGGTGAGAAGAAGCCTTTAATTATCACTTCCTAAGAATGCAGTGATTATTATTATGCTGGCACAGCAAACTGGCATTCTATGAGCAATTCTGAAAATGGGGGCAACCTTTTTTGTCAGAAGATTTAAAACAGATCAAGTAAATTGGAAAGGCCAATTTTGCTTATCTTGAAAGAGAATGATTATTTCAAGTTGCTTTTTTATTTGGAAAGAATCCAGGCTGCGGGGGTGAATTACTGCTACTCAAAAAAAAGGCTTTTCAAAAGAGTGAAACGTTTGAAATTCTTATAAACTGCCATACCAGTGGAAGTCTTCCAAAGTTACAAACATTGCTGCAGCTTGTATGTAAGAAGTGAGATCTGAATTTTTGACCTTGCTAGTTAGGACACAATTATCTGACTCTCAGGAGGACTTTTGAATGTCTCCCTGGCCAAGCAAGCATTCATGCCTGGAAAAGTGGTTCTGTATTTGGTTGTAAAAATGTTTCTTAAAAATATTTTTTAAAAGAATAGAGAACAAATATTCAGAAACTCACTTCTTTAAGCTATGAAATTATTGCTTCTTGCTTTGTGACTGGAGATAATGATTCTTGGTGTCTATATGCTGTCACAGTTTCAACCTTTCCACTCATCTTGTCACTATACATTTATATGGTAATTAAGAAAAATACTCCTCAAATGTTATGTGCCATCAAGGGTGACTATATGAGCTAATTGCTGAAGCTAGAAAAAAGTGGCAACCTTTGTATAATTGGATGAGAGATAAAAACATGAATGGGTTAAAATTATGAGAAAGAAAATATAAGATATAATTTTAGATTTTAAAAACTTAGGAAAAAAATTATAAGTGTGAAGTAAGCTTAGTAAGAAACATATCAACAAATGTAACAATATTTACTGTTCTGTGTCACATTCTGTATTTTTTATTCACCCCAATACCCTGCTCCAAATTCCCTTCCCGATAATCTTCCATTACTTAATGGAAAATTAATTTTAAAAAAGGGTGACTATGAGGTAATGACTGCCAAAATCTCATATAATTAATTTATTATTTATTATCTGCTCAGATTTTGCAAACCAACAGCATTTCATGTTAGGTTGTTCTTTTTTCCTATTCACACTTGTTGAAAAGCAGCTGTGACAGTTGCTTTATATTTTAGTGAGAAGATGTTAACTGATGAGGAAAAGGAATCAGTTTCTAGAATTTCCCTTTGCTTGGTATCACTTTGTGAATGGTAGTGAGCACAAGAGTATCCTGTAGAGTAGACTATCTTGACTACGGCAGTTGGTGTCAACCTTCAAGCTGCCCTTTGCTTGGCATCCTTTTTCCTGCTGGCAACACGGGCACAATATTGTGCAATTCCCTGGTGTTTTGAATCAAGGATACAGAAGTTCAATATCCCACATTCAAAAAACTGAGTCGTTTTAAAAAAATGAACTGAATAATTTAAAAAATCACTGCTAGATTGCCACCAGCAGGGTCAGGACAGCCTTGGAACTTAAAATACGTATGTAATAGGAAAATTTTAATTACTTAAATTGAATGTGCCTGGGGCCTGAGCTGAGTTATCCAGCACAAAGTTATGCTGGCAAGATTCTACCCATTGAGTTTAATGGGACTTTCTCTCAGGTAAGCAAGAATATGATCATAGTCTTAATGACTTAGAATCAATCTAGTCTCTGGAAGAAGATAACTATTTAAGCACTGAAAAAAGAATGGGGAAGGAATTACAGCTTAGCTGTATAATTCAGACAAGCTTATGTTTGATTAAAATATAGAAGATTTGATGACCTGGCAAACTGGATTCTGATGAAATGCAAGCACAATGGAGAAATATGCCTTGCTATACTGTGACAAAAATATGCCTTGAAAACCAGAACCAGGGAAAACCAGTGTGGGAAAACAAAGGAAAGCCTGACTTTAAAGCAAATTTACTTGACAGGTACAAGTATTTAGTCTAATTATTTCTGTTTAACCAATAAATATTGCAGTGGGCTTTTATTTGCAACCTTTTCAAAATACCTTTTTCTGTAAAGTATAATTAAGCTGTGGTGCTTGAAAAATCTTTTGGGGGGAAATATAACTTTGTACTAGTTAGATATGGGAATATTTAGCAACAAACAAAAAAAAAGTAACTTCTTTTCAGAATACTTCCATCTTTCAAAACTGGGATTGAGGTGCCCTAAAATTTTCAAAATGTAACTGGAACCTCATTGTTTCTATTGTTCATTCTTCAGTTACAGAGAATATATTTCACTTTTTAGCATTTATTGCAGTTCTTACTTGGTGACTGTAACTACATTTTCTATTTTAATATTCAGGTACAACCAAAAATATCTTTACTATGCAAATGAGAAAAGCCTTTGGGATATATTAAAGCCTCTAGATATTTTCAAACAAGTCATTGTAAAAGTATATCTATGCTAACGTACTTTGCAACTACTTTAAATACTATTGATCTCTGAATTATGTAAAAAAGGTGGATGGTATTTCTAGTTCATTTGCCTTCTGAAACTTTTCAAAAATAAAATCAAGCACAAATAAATACTTAATCAGTAATTTTGGATACCTGTATTTATCAGGTAAGAACTTGGAAGCATTTCTCTTGTATAATAAAGGTTTTTAACAGGAGAAACCCAATAATGTATGTTTTGAGAATAACATATTTTCAGGATCCTTCAAATCTTTTAAAGCTGGAATAAGCCTGGGAGATTTTTCATAATAAACAGTGGCCCCACCAGCTAGGAAATATTCTCTCTGAGCACTCCATGCATGTATCCCTTGGTAGATGAAGAATCATGCTGAATAGGGAAGGAACCCAGCCTGCTCCAGCTGCTAAGGTATCATATGTATTGCCCGGTAAACAAAGCAGTAATCTGCTGATTAGGAGGAGGCAGAATTCAGTCCATCTGCTGCCCTTTACTACTTCCTGACCAACAATTTGATGGATAGAAGCATTTATTTATGTTTAGAACCTATCTATCTATTAGAGAGATTTGTATGGGCTTCATTTTTTAATAAATGTTCAGTCATATCCTGAAGTTTTTGCAGAAGACAAAAGGTCCTAAGTACTTTCAACTGTGTTTCCTTAGGGCTCTTTCCTTTCCATTAACCCTTTGGTTGCTGTGACAGCCTCCTCTCACGTCACAAAGGAGAGTTACCCACGCTCTTCACTTCAGGTGACCCTAACTGAAATTGCTCTGGTCACTTTGGCCAAGGCTTTACTGGACAACTCGTATCCCAACTGCTGGACACCAGTTTTATTGTGACAGCCTCCTCTCACGTCACAAAGGAGCTGCCACGTCACTCTCACACCCTTACTTTATTCACGC